GACTGAGACCCTTCATCCACGCATTATATACTCGGTGTGCTTATGTGTGTTGGACATATGTTTTACCTGGGTGTCTTACTGTGCAGACCCACAGCTGTACTGTGTAATTAAATGAGCCTAGAGGCCTTAAAGTGTCCCAGTCAGCCCGCCGTACACTGTCCCCGCTCAGCAGTAAAACAACAGATGGACAGGTGGGCGTGTGGAGCCGCTGAACATCGTGGAGCATTTAGCAGCTAAAGAGCTGGATATTTCCCTCAGGATTGAGTGGAGAGAAAGAGAGAGATGAGAGAGGAGTAAACACTGGACTCAAATTCAACAGGTGGACACCGACACAACTGCCAGTAAATGATGTTGTTGGCTTCGGTCTGACTTTATTAACTTTTAATAAAAGTTTTAATGTGTCAGCGTGAGGGTTAGAGATTGTCCTGATGACACAGGTAGTAAAAAAAAAGATCAAGTGAACAATCACAAATGGTATTTTATTCACAAATCTCCAGCTCTTTCGAAAATTATCTTTGTTTTGTAAAATATGAGGTGAGAGATATTTCAAATGTCTCTCATTTTCCCTGGCAAATAGTCATTAATTGTTATGCACTTTTTTCATAGTAAAATTCACTGATACATGTACCATGAAGTTCTGGGATTTATCCATTTTAAAATAACTTTATTATTTTGCTTATTTATTATTCATAATTAAATAATTATAATAATTTTTTTCGAGATATGTTTTTTCTCTCGTTATTTTGAGTTTCCTTGAAAAAAATGTTCCACTTATTTTTTTATCATCTTACCATTCTTTAAGTGCCTTTTGACACTTTAGTGGTGTAATTTGTAATTCATGTCCATCGTTGAGATTCCAATATTCTATTCTTTTTTTGTGAAAGTCAGTCACATTTTTGCCTACAATTAATATGTCATCAATATTCTTTGGCTTTTAAGGATTTAATTTTAAAAATGTTAACATTTCAATAATATTTCAACATTTCTTCACGGTCCATTCCATTCCATTCCATTAAAACTGCATTCCAACTAAATACTGTGCATGCAGGGAATAATTCAGGCCCCATTTTGAATTGTGTTTAATCTGACCTTTTAGAGTTTTAGAAGTTAAGGACAGAAGTAGCAGGTCTGACCCAGCAGGTGAGACTGGAGACACAACATCCATCATGTTCTGTGATCTGCATCCTGATCTGCCTGCTCTGGGTTCATGTTCCTCTGTTGCCTCGATTGCACACACACGCACACACACACACACACACACAGTTGGACTGCTTTAATCAAGCCATATTGAATCTACATTTCTTGTTATTGGAAACATGTCATGTCGACCCAGCCTTGCTGCTGGGGTAAAATAAATGTTGTATGTGTGACGAGGTGTACATACTGTATGTAGAGATGACTGATGATTAAAAGTCACTACCTGTGGGTGTGCAGTGGTAGGAACTGGACTGACTGGATCATTTCAATAAAGACTAGCTGTGACAATTTTAGACGTGCACTTGTGGCTCATCTTTATCACACAGTAAATAAAAGATGTTGGTGTTTAGATTCAGCTTCACTGATCATCTCACATGTGTGTTTGTCGATTAGGAATTCAATTTCTCTAACTCTGTGTTTTCTGTCTCAACAACAACAACAGAAATCGGTATCAGCTTAACCTCTCCGTTTTCAGAACAGAAAGGTTAAGCTGAGGTTAAATCGGTGGAAGAGTGGGAAGCAAGTAGATCAGTGGTTAAAGTGGCCCACCTACTGTACCTAACCCAGTTTGTATGACAGTGTAAATGGTTCTTTGTCACTTTATGCGGCCCAGTGATGGACTGGTGAACTGTTCAGGGTGTACTTCAGCCTCACCCAATGGCTGATGGGATTTCCTCCAGCTCCCCCAAAACCTCAAAAGGATTAAGGGGGAGAAGATGAATTAATTAATGGAATAAATAAATCACTACAACTGATATTTATATACCCAATACAAATGCAACATTTCTGCATTACTGTTTTGATGAAGTTGATATGTGCAGCTGTTACAGTCTTTGCTCCCCAGGGGGAAGAAACCAACCGCCCTCCATGTGTCTACCTTCAGAGGCTGCTCCAATCACACGTCTGCTGTATGTCCGGGGCACAATAAGGTCTGACATTGACTACTTACATTTGCAATGCTATCCAGTAAATTAGAATTTCTACATGCTTGACACTAAAATTTGGGTCTGAAAAAATGTCACTTCTAATAATTCAATAATCAACTTTGTAAAACATGCAACCTATTGGTACAGTGAACATCTTTTTTGAACGTATAAGTTGGTGAAGTGCGGAACCAAAAGTACAAACGTGTTAACATGCAGCAGCATTTGTGGTTTGTATTTACTGACAGGTCAACTGTGGTCAACAGAAGCCGATATCAGCCAAAACCAGTGTGTGGCAGAAATCCCCCAGTCACAA